GGAAGGTTCTAAAACTGGGTAGGCACTTCACCATTGTTGAACAGAGTTTGCGCAAGCGTTTAACTTGAATCATAATTCAATACCATTCACACCTAATTCGTTGACGCCCAACGGAGTCGTCACGCATTACGTCATAATTGTCGAAAGTAGGAAACACAACCAAAAACAGACACTACCTCAGGAGCCGAACCACGACCAAGGTTTATAGACCACACACTTTTATCGTCCTACAACAATGAAGTTTTTATACAATTATCTATTTCATTGTGAAAATAAAAACAAAAATGATACTGATTTTAACGGTGTTTAATAAACTCGTTTTTCTCCAAGTAATCTTTAATCTGAATTTTGAAACACCACACATGGTTCAAGGATATTTCACTCACTTCAAAAGTTGTCGACACTTATTCTGTCCATTCGTTTCTTTTCTGTTTCTTAATACCACAGTAAACACGCTTGACACTGTGCCCTGAACTTGAATGTCCACATTTACTGTTGATAAAGTTCATTCTTTTCATGAATGGTTTCGTTTTAATACTATAATACCAGCTGTGCCACCACGTCGTTTTGTTTACATCTAACTTCAACTTGGTCGGTAATTAGTCTTCATGGTGTGGCGTCTTGCTGATCAATGGTCAAGCCCACATTGTGACCCCATCGTCACGCAGTCAAAGAATGCATTGTAGAACTACTTAGTGCAGAGAAAAGTTATTTATTTTACTTTTCCAGGTTATTGAATGTGGCTATACTACGGTGGGACTACTGAGTGCAATAAACATTGACGTTGTTTGTTTAATTCTGCCATTGAAAAAAATAGAGAATCATTATGGTATAAGTATAGACGTGAACAAATTACTCCAAATCTCGGTGTCATAGCTTATGTTGAATAATAATAAAGATAATTTATTGCATCCTTAGAAATACAGTGTTTCCATCAGTTTATAGCAACAAAAGTAAGATATTAAAAAACAAAATAACAAAATAACTATAGCAAATAATAAATGATAGATTTTAGTGTTTTTGTTAAGTATCTTTCTCGTTTCTCATTAAGAACGAGCTGTGTATAAATTCTCCAACAAGTTTGATTACATTTGTGTTAGAATTTGTCATTAAGTATGTAAATTTCTGTTGGTCAGTTTTTGTTTCATCAGGAAACTGTATATTTGAGAATATATCCATTCGCAGTGTGTGATATTTTGGGCATTTGATGAGGAGATGCATTTCATCTTCTATGTCTGCTAAAGTACATTGTTTACAAATCCTGTTTTCCAAAGAAATTTTAGGTTGGGTATGTCTACCCTTTTCTATTGCTAGGCTGTGATTACTTGTTCGGAATCTAGAGACAGAAATTCTATGTTTTAGATTCAGTATAATTAAGTAACTTTCAAAGTTGTAGTTTGTTTTGAATTGAGTATATGTTCTCAACTTAGGTTTATCCATAATTGTCTCCTTCCAGAATTCAATATATTTTTGTTTAATATTGTTTCCTATTCTATATAATCAGGGTGATTTGCATGCATGTTGTGCCAACGGCAGTAGTGGGGTGCTGTGCAATGGGATGGGTGCCGATGGTTTTACGCAATGTGGGCGTGGAACACCTAAATATGATGTTATCTCTGGAGCTTGTCCGATAATTTTAATTCTGGTGGTGCAATCAAAAGTTTCTTAGTGTGGGTGGCACTATATGTCGTGTGAGACATGTTAGTCAGTTTCCACAATAGTGTATCTTCCACGTACTCGATGATTCGTTGACTAGGGAAGAGAAGTCTGACTGTCTTTATAACAAGAGAAATGTTTTTTGAAAATATGGTACAGTATTCAAGTACATGTAGACACGTGCTGTATAAATCATACTTGAAATCAGTACATTTGGTTACAACACTGTAACAGTACATTGTTTGAAACACGTACACATCATTTGAAACACGTACACATCATTTGAAACACGTACACATCACTTGAAACACGTACACATCACTTGAAACACGTACACATCACTTGAAACACGTACACATCACTTGAAACACGTACACATCACTTGAAACACGTACACATCACTTGAAACACGTACACATCACTTGAAACCCCAGCGGACTGTCCCAACAATTTAAAGAAACGGTGTATTGCAGAGACGTAAAGAACTAGAGAAATCTGTAACTATGACAGCATAATGTTCTATTACACTAGCGGATTACCAGAGGGAGATTTGAACGTTCAAAATGACGGACGTGAAATGACGTATGTCATCTCTGGCAACGCCAGTTTCTACTATTTCTTTGTTTAACTCCGACTTCTTTGTCATAGACATTGATAATTTCCCGAGATAAGGAATGTTTGAAGTGAATTTCTAGCTGAAATATTGCCATTACCACGAATTATGTAATCTGAGAACAACGTTTCGTTCGGAATCGACTTCGTTTGAAAACTCTTTAATAGAAATACATTTTAATACATTTTAAACAAAATCTATACCCATAAACTTGCAAGCTTATTGTTTAAAGCGGGAGGGCCGTCACCTGCGCACGCGCGGAAATTGAGACCCAAGGGACGATAACAGCACACGCTAAAACCGAAAAGGCTCATGGGTAGACGCTTGTTTGTAAACAATGACACGCTCCTGCCATCTGACGCATGCGCAGGTGACGATTCCCCCACTTTAAAACTCGTCATTAATGCTTAACAATCCTTGCGATGCATGTACGTAATTTAGAATTGTATAATATTACATGTAACGTCCTCATATCCGAAATCACGCGAGATCTCTCGAGTTTTTTTGAATTTCTCTACATTTGGATTATGCTAACCAATGTCGGGTTCCACAGACATGACAAGTCTTGTTTTCCATTCTAGGGCAATGTACAGATCCTGGGATACCAGATAACGGCTTTATAATATCGCCCCTCAACTCAACTTTTCCTGTAAATAAAAACACCACTTTTCAGTATGGTTGTAACATTAATTACACTATGTATAGTTCAGACGTAATCACGTGTATCGACACGACGTGGGACAAGCAATTACCATTCTGTACAAGTAAGTACTTATGAATACACAGCTTACACGATAACAATTTTAATATTTCGTAAAAGTGCATTGTTTACAATAAAATATCATGATTGTATTTTGTCTGGTGTACACCATGACGTCAAACAAACCAATACTTTCATCGGGTGTCAACACGTGACATCATAAAAACTAATACCTTTAATTGGTTGTCCGAACATGCCTATGAATGATGATTCACGTCTAATTTCACATCAAAAACTCTTTTGTATATATTTCTGTTTTGTTTAAGTTTTTCAAAATGTTGGCACGGGAGGACAAACAGCTTACCAAAGCAGCTATCCTAAAGCATGGGCGAAGGCTAAATCAGCATTGGACGGTGACTTCGAGTCGTTTACTCCGACTTCCGAGGAGTACTCACCATGGTGGTATGTGGACTTGGGAGGGAGCTATGATATACATCACGTGATGATTGGCTGCAAGGATATAAGCTGGTTTTGTGAGTTTCTAATAATAAATTAAATATGACGTATGGTATGCCCCAGTCCATGTACACCTCGACGGGACAAGGCAAATTCGGAGTTTACATGGACTGGCGCATTATGACATGTGGTCAATGACGTAACTATCCAAATGTTAGTGATATCTAAGCGGAATTCATGTGAGTCGAATCGTCTATGTCAGTGCCTAGTGGTTAATGACGAAATCTGAATATGTATAAAAATAATAAATTTATTGAAATCGTATCCACAATGGGGTATTGATCAATACAATAAAGGTAATATATATATATAATAATGACAAAACAAAATTACAAATATAACTAAAACTAATAAAATACATAACATAACAAAGAAAGAGAGAAAAAAGAAGATAATTTATAAAAAAAAAAGTTTAATAAAAAAAGAAAAGAAAATATTGTTTCTTTGTTGTGAGGCAGCTGGAAATCCCTCATAATAAAGCACTGGTAAATAAATTTAATTAACTCTTTTAATATTTGTCTATCTTTTAGTTTTAGTATGTTTATCAAATTTTCATAGTCAGATTAATTGTCCTGGAGTATGTTGTGTTTGTCGAAGAAGTTATTTTTTCTCTTTTTTTTGTAATAATTGCATTGTATAAAGAAGTGTGTCTCATCTTCGATCTGACCATTGTTGCATATTAAACATTTTCTTTCGATCAGACATGTAATACGAGTACAAATATCTTGTCTTTTACTAGTTAATAAGCAGATCGGATCAGTCGTCAGAGTCGGTTTTGATGAGACTTTCACCAACAACCAGCAATGCGGCCCAACGGTCAGTGACAGTATATTTACAGCCGACTACAACAACCCAATAATGCTAGACTGTGGGGGACCAATAGCAGGTCGTTATGTAAGTGTATCACGGGAAGGTATAACTGATAAACTCGCCTTGGCAGAAGTTATGGTGCTTGCGATAGGTGAGTTGAAACGTGTGTGGCATGACATGCCCTCACAGAAACACATATGTTGGGACGCATTATTTGCGGTATGTTATATCTTGCAGACAAGCTAGGCTGCTAACGGCGTTGAGTATAACGTATAGTTGAGCATAAAGGATGTGTCAGCCGCTGCTTTGACTACTTAGTTATTTGGTTACATGCAGTACAAATATGTTAATAAATGTTATACATTTTTCCAGCCAGTTTATTTTTAATCTCAATATTAAATCTAAGCGTGGCGGAGAGCGGGGGATGAAAATGTAATATGAATGCATTTACGGTTTTCTTAAAGAATACTGTGAAACGTGTCTTTTTAGCTAGCATGTTATTTTAGCTAATTAGGTAATCTGTAATGTCGCTAATATAAAACAAAGTATATTTTCATAATGAGATTGTTGACACTTTTAGCTAAATTAAGATTTGGTTAATTCATGGATGGCGTCAAATTCGCTAAAATGTCATGTAGCTATTTAAACGTGTTTTAAAGTATGTAATTTTTTTCATTCAATCTCAAACCCTGGTCTCATTTTAAGTGAAAATGTTCCAATTTTGTACCTAGTTTTGCGAAAAACTTGAATATCAACCATATTGTATCAGTTGCTATAGTTTTTGGATATAATTATGTAAAAATATGCATATTAAGATCTACATTGTATTTACAGGCACGTGTGACATCGATCCCGGTATCCCAGCGAACTGTAATCGTACAAGCGACCCTGTTCTCCCAACATATGTGGGAGGTCCGTCATTAAAATATGAGTGTGACGATGGATACACCATGTATGGGGATTCTGTCGTTGAGTGTGTTGCTGGATCTACATGGTCGTCTCCGCCCCTCTGTACAGGTAATTGTTGAGACACATCACAAGTTATAGCAAACTACATATAGCTTTGATAAACAAATCTGCGATCAATATCGGATTATACAAGAATAATTCGTGAAACGCTCTCTGTTCTCACAAGTTACTTCATTTGCATGGCAATATAAATAACGTCAGTGCATATAAACGCTGACCCTACCACCCCCCCCCCCCATGTAGAGAAAGTATGGTACTAATTCCAGGACATTAATACTAACAACAACCCCAGAAGCACGGGATAATTCTTGTAAAAGAAACTTAAAAAATATCATCGGGATTTTGAAAACGCAATAAGAAAAAGAAACATTTTCAGTAATATTGTCCGAGTCCAGTAGTTCGAGTTGAAATATTGGCCGAGGTGATGTCGAACTAAAACAACGTTGCTTTATTCAGCGATGATTATTAAACTCTGAGTTTATAGTACGTACCACTAATTAGAATCGCGTGAAACATTATCAATTTCAAACAATATTTTTAAATTATGAAACTTCCAGACTTAGAAAA